CCAGACAAACAAGAACTAAAGGAGTTCATGACCACTAAACCAACCTTGCAAGAAATATTAAGAGACTTTGAGTGGAAAGGAAGACCAAGAGTGACAATATGACAGTAGGAAACACAAAAGCAGTAAAAATGAATATTTCTGTAAAAAATCAGTCAATGAACTCACAAATAAAAGGATGTAAAATATGACAATATATACCTAAAACGGAGGAAGGAGAGAAGAATGTGTTCAAACTTAAACGACCATCAACTTAATTTACACTGCTATATGCAGAAGATGTTATACACAAACCTAATGGTAACAACAAATCAAAAACCACTAATAAGTATGCAAAGAATAAAGAGAAAGAAATCCAAATATATCTCTAAAGAAAACCAGTAAACCATGAAAGAGAGAAAGACAGAGAAAATCTTCAGAAACAACCACAAAACAAGTAATAAAATGGCGAAAAGTACATATCTAGCAATAATTACTTGGAATGTAAATGGATTAAACATGCCAATCAAAAGACATAGGGTGACAGAATGGATTAAAAAAAAAACCAAGACCCATCTATACGCTGCCTACAAGAGACTCATTTTAGACCTAAAGACACCTGCAGATTGAAAGTGGGGATGGAGAGGGGCGCCTGGGTGGCTCAGTTGTTAAGTGTCTGTTTTCGGGCTCAGGTCATGATCCCAGGGTCCTGGGATCGAGCCCCACATTGGGCTCCCTGCTCAGCGGGAAGCCTGCTTCTCCCTCTCCCACTCCCCCTTGCTTGTGTTCTTACTCTCGCTCTCTCTCTCTCTGTCAAATAAATAAATAAAATCTTTAAAAAAAAAAAAAGTGGGGATGGAGAAACATCTATCATGCAAATGGATGCCAAAAGAAAGCCAGAGTATGGGGCGCCTGGGTGGCTCAGGTGGCTGAGGGTCCAATTCTTGATTTTGGCTTGGGTCATGAGCTCAGGGTTCTGAGATCCAGCCCTGCAGAGGCTCCAGGCTCAGCGTGGAGTCTGCTTGAGATTCTTTCTCCCACCCTGCTTGTGTTCTCTCTCTCTCTCTCTAAAATAAGTAAATAAATAAATGAATAAATAAAATCTTAAAAAAAGGGAAAGAAAAGAAAAGAAAGCTGGAATAGCAATACTTACATTGGACAAGATAGACTTTAAAACAAAGGCTGTAACAAGAAACAAATAAGGACATTATATAATAAGAAAGGGGACAATCCAACAAAAAGATATAATTGTAAATATTTATGCACCCAACATGTGAGGACCCAAATACATAAAACAGTTAATAACAAAAATAAAGGAACTAATTGATAATAATACAATAATAGTAGAGCACTTTAGCACCCCACCTACATCAATGGACAGATGATCTAAACAGAAAATCAACAAGGAAACAATGAATTTGAATGACACTCTGGACCAGATGGATTTAACAGATATATTCAGAACATTCCAGCCTAAAACAGGAGAATACACCTTCTTTTCAGGCACATATGGAACATTCTCCAGAATAGATCACATATTAAGCCACAAAACAATCCTTGACAAATTCAAGAAGACTGAAGTCATACAATGCATCTTTTCTGATCACAGAGCTATTAAACTAGAAGTCAACCACAAGAAAAAATTTGGAAAGATCACAAATATAATGAGGTTAAATAACATGCTAATAAGCAATGAATGGGTCAAACAGGAAATAAAAGAAGAAATTTAAAAAGTATATAGAAACAAATGAAAATGAAAACACAAGGTCCAAAACCTTTGGGATGTAGCAAAAAAAGTCCTAAGAGGGAAGTTTATAGCAATATAGGCCTACCTCAAGCAGAAAAAAATCTCAAATAAACAACCTACTCTTACACCCAAAGGAGCTAGAAAAAAGAACAAAAAACAAAACCTAAAACCAGCAGGAAGGAAATAAAAAAGATTAGGGCAGAAATAAATGATATAGAAATTAAAAAAAACAATAGAACAGATCAATGAAACTAGGACCTGGTTCTTTGGGAAAAAAATCCATAAAATTGATAAACCTCAAGCCAGACTTATCAAGAAAAAAAGAGAAAAGACTCAAATAGATAAAATTACAAATGAAAGAGGAGAAATAACCACCCCCACCACAAAAATACAAACAATTATAAGAGAATATTATAAAAAACTATCTGTCAACAAATTGGACAACCTGGAAGTAATGGATAAATTCCTAGACTGAATCAGGAAGAAATAGAAAAACTGAATAGACAGACAACCAGCAAAGAATGGAATCAGTAGCAAAAAAACTCCAAACAAACAGAAGTCTTATTGATACATCACATCAATAAGAGGATAAGAACCATCTGATCATTTCAATAGACACAGACAAAGGCATTTTACAAAGTACAATATCTATTCATGATAAAAATTCTCAACAAAGTAGGTTTAGAGGGAACATAACTCAACATAATAAAGGCCATATATGAAAAACCCACAGCTAACATCATCCCGATTGGGGAAAAACTGAGAGCCTTTCCCCTAGGGTCAGGAACAAGATATGGATGTCCACTCTCTTCACTTTTATTCAACATAATACTGGAAGTCCTAGCCGCAGCAATCAGACAACAACAACAAAAATAAAAGGCATCCAAATTGGTAAAGAAAAAGTAAAACTTTCACTTTTTGCAGATGAGATGATACGAATATATAGAAAACCCAAAGACTCCATCAAAAACTACTAGAACTGCTAAATGAATTCAGTAAAGTTGCAGGATATAAAATCAATGTACAGAAATCTGTTGCATTTCCACATACCACTACAGAAGCAGCACAAAGAGAAATTAAGAAAACAATCCCATTGGGGTGCCTGGGTGGCTCAGTCTTTAAGCGTCTGCCTTCGGCTCGGGTCATGATCCCAGGGTCCTGCGATTGAGCCCCGCATCGGGCTCCCTGCTCCGCGGGAAGCCTGCTTCTCCCTCTCCCACTCCCCCTGCTTGTGTTCCCTCTCTCGCTGTGCCTTCCTCTGTCAAATGAATAAATAAAATCTTAAAACAAACAAACAAACAAAAAAAACCCAAAAAAACAAAAACCATATGTGTCTAGAGAATTAATAAGAGGTAGAAATTAAGGAATGTTAAAAAAAATCTGAAATCTACAAAGACTAGTCTTTGTCTTAGAAAGAAGGTATCAAAAGCATAAATGTACATAATACTTTGCAGATTTAAAAGGCATTTTCTATATATTACATTATTTGATCCTTTCAATAACCCTTGTGAGATGGCAGAGTAAGTTCTGTTTCCCCCATTTTACACGTTAAGAATCAATGCTCAGGGCGCCTGGGTGGCTCAGCTGGTTAAGCGACAACCTTCGGCTCAGGTCATGATCCTGGAGTCCCGGGATTGAGTCCTGCATTGGGCTCCCTGCTCGGCAGGGAGTCTGCTTCTCCCTCTGATCCTCCCCCCTCTCATGTGCTCTCTCTCTCTCTATCATTCTCTCTCTCAAATAAATAAATTTTTTAAAAATCTTAAAAAAAAAAAAAAAATCAATGCTCAATAGAGACCACATGAGTCCCAGGCAAGATGGTTAGTAAGTTTCAGAGTCAAGCTCTTCTGATTTGACATCCACTGCTTTCCTTAATCCCACAATGCCACTAGAGACACAACCGTAAGGCACAATTATGTTCTTATTCTTTTCTAACTTACAAAGTAATAATAGTGAGAACTACAGAGAAAGAAAGTACAGGTGGCTCAATCAGATTCTTTTTTTTTTTTTTTAAGATTTTATTTATTTATTTGACAGAGACATAGCGAGAGAGGGAACACAAGCAGGGGGAGTGGGAGAGGGAGAAGTAGGCTTCCCGCGGAGCAGGGAGCCCGATTCGGGGCTCGATCCCAGGACCGTGGGATCATGACCTGAGCTGAAGGCAGACGCTTAATGACTGAGCCACCCAGGCGCCCCTCAATCAGATTCTTAAAAGGATCTTCAGCAGTATAAAACTATGGTGAGAGAGCCTCTATTTATTCATCTTAACTGCTACTTCTATTTTTTTTTTTTTTTTTTTTACAGATTTTATTTATTTATTTGACAGAGAGAGACACAGCGAGAAAGGGAACACAAGCAGGGGGAGCGGGAGAGGGTAGAAGCAGGCTTCCCACGGAGCAGGGAGCCCGATTCGGGGCTCGATCCCAGGACCGTGGGATCATGACCTGAGCTGAAGGCAGACGCTTAATGACTGAGCCACCCAGGCGCCCCTTCACTGCTACTTCTAGACACCTTTAAAAATTAGTTCACTACCAGGGGTGTTTCTTTTTTTTCCAAAAAGTAAAAGAAGGAAAAGTAGAAGAATGATGAAGGCAGTAGGAGGCTATTTCAAGGCTTTTTTTGAAAAACTTTGAACCTTTCCAAAAATTATGTTTTGATTGATACCTTTTGGTATTATATTTTAACCTATCCTAAAAATATATGTAAACAGAATGGTGAGTCAATGTACTGGCATTCTTACTGAGGTCATTTTTAGTAAAGAGAGCTTAGACTCTATCATGATTTTAAAATAGTCTGGAAATAAATAGTTCATATACAAATGTCATTCAAGCACATGGTCATATCAAGTTAACATCTTTTACAGACTGATTCATCTTTTTTAGCTGAAGTGAGGGGTGGGCAGTGAAAAAAATTTTTTAAAAGAAAAGATAATCCTTAAGCGATTACATCAAATAAAATGTCATGATGTATGATGAATTGTATTAACAACATATTAGCAACACAAACTATTAAACTAAAACTTACTAAACTTATTGCTTTTAAAAAAAGCATTGTTACAGAAAGGAGTTTCTCAACTTAAATAATTCCTATTTATTTTTACACAAATTTTTTTTACATTGACTTAAAATCTTTTTCAGAATAACTTACCATTCTTTTTTTTTTTTTTTTTTTAAGATTTTATTTTTAAGTAATCTCTACACCCAGCGTTGGGCTTGAACTTACAACCCCAGATCGAGATCACATACTCTACTGACTGAGCCAGCCAGGTGCCCCAACTTACCATTCTTTAATAGTTACTTCTCTAATCCCTTCTCCGATGTCTGAGAGTTTGAATTGAACAATCTGTCCCTGCAGAGCTTCAAAGACAAATGAGAAATGGTCTCATTAAATAAGTAATGTATTCCTAACAGATACTTTCACAGCTAAAATGAGAAAATATTCTCAAGCAGAGGCAGAAACTATTGCATTTTACAGACAAAAATGTATTTTATAATTTTTAAAAGCATAAGCGTCATTCATAACCATCAAAGATTTAAATAAATCTTAAATAAATCAGCATCACAGACCTACTGATAACTGCCACAGCACCTCCATTTTCCAACTTCCAAAATAATGCTCTTTTACAAGGGCACAGAAGGCCCAGCTAGCTGGATCTCCTTGTTTTCTGTTATTAAACTGTAATAACCATTAGTGTCCTGTTCTTAGATCTCTTTTGACTTCATGTAACTCTTCTCATTCTTAGTGGCTAACGATCAGGTAGGTCCGTATCTAGACAACTTGAAAAATTTTCATCTGTCCAAACCATGTTCTGCCAACTTATCATTAAGTTTTAGTCCCTCTCCTTCCTCTTACCATTGTTTATCCCTTTTTGAATTTCTACCCCACTCTTATAACAATTAGATGCAAGTGATACTTTATGGTAATTATTCCCAAGAATAAGTATTTCTGGTCAACAGAAAGTAGGTATGGATCCTCTCACTTTTCCAGGGTAACAAGTGGCTCTGAACCGATTCAAGAGTGCTCCTCTATCTTCAGACTGCTATTCATCAAAATTGCTTACAAAACACACAACAAGCCAATTCAGGTCATAAGATTTTCTTTAATAAATACAAGGAGAGAGGTTAATGGTTAAGAAATACAAATGCATTTTTGATATGGAGGTATTAGGCACCTCTTATTTCCTCTCTAGTAAGTTCGGTCCTCTCACAGCCTGCTGCTCATAGCACAAACTGGAACCTTTCTGAAAAAATAGTTTGGTATTAAGTATCAAAAGCCTTAAAAAAAAAAAAGTTCGTATCTTTGACTCAATAAACAACTGTGCTTTTAAGACTTTTTTCCCCTGAGGAAATAATTAAGAGAGGTACACAAAGATTTGTGCTCAAGAACAGTTATCATAGCATTAAAATGAAGACCTGGGATACCAATCTAAGTCATCGAAAAATGGCAAGTAAATATATTATGGCACCTCTATACAAAACAATATTATTCAAGGAACAGCATGTGCAAGAAGAACATGGAAATATAGTGCATAGCATGGTTAGGGAATAACACGCAATTCTATGGCTGAAGATAGTATACGTGGCAAAAAATCAGTCCAGATTTAAAAAGGCTTTCTTTGCTGTGCCACAGTGAGGTGTTTGGAACTTATCCTGCAGGTGATCATGAGCCAGTGGTAAGTAAATATGGTCATAATTTTTTTGCAGCTGCTCCCATAAGACGTAGAGTCTAATTTACCACTACTTAAATCTATGCTGGCAAATCACTTGCTTGGACAATAGAATATAGCAGAAGTAAAGTTGTACAAATTCTGGAGCCTAGACCTCAAAGGACCTCGCAGCTTCTTCTACAATCTCCCTCTTGGAATACTAACTTGAGATCCCAGAGTAAGGAAGCTGCTATAGTCTACTAGAGGATGAAAGGCCATGTGGAGGAGAAATGAGACACCCCACCCAAAAACCAGCACCAACTGTCAGACATGTATGTGAGACCATCTTGCACCTTCCAGCCCAGATGATCCTCTAGCTGAATACAGTTATATTAGTGAGCTCAGGTGAAACCAGCAGAGGAACCACCTGGGTAACCCCCAGAATCCTGCGAAATAATAAATCATTGTTGCTTTAAGCCTAAAGTCATGGGCAGGGTTGTTATTCAGCAATAATTAACCAATAGGGAATACCATCTGCAATTTCAGATCTGTAACTTTCTATCTTTAATTTTAGAAAAAAATCTCCTTGGCAGGAATGTGGGTGGATAGGGTTGGGGAAGGGATGACAGAGAAAGCAGTTAGGAGGCTACTACAGGTACGAAACTGAAGTATAGAATTTAATATATTTATATATTTTCAAAGCTGTCTGAAAAAAAGACAGATTTAAGAACCACATAAAATGTCAAATTAATAAATCTCAGTAATCAATTTGATGTGAAACAGGAATCTGGAAGTCTCCAGGTTTCTAGCTTAAGTATTCACTGAGTTAGGGAATATAGGAAGAGAATGTATCCCAAGCACCTAGAACAGTGCCTTGGCAGATAGCAGGTGATCAATAAATACTTGTGTTAAATGAATTTATTCTCACAACAATACAATGAGTTAGGCACTATGATTACTCCCATTTTACAGATGATGAAATAGAAAGGAATTAAGTAACTTGCTTAAAGTTACACTGCTAGTAATAGATAGACCAAGAACCCAAAGCTCAAGGTGTTTAGAGATTAGAGCAGGAAGGTGGGAGTTTCTGCTTGAATGGCCTCTATTTTCTCTGAGAAATAAAGAGAAAAGATCAACTTATAAAAATAAAAATGTTAAAAAAAAAGGCAAAGGTAGGGTTTATGTATCTTAGGGTGTTGTGGAAGATGACCTATAAAAAGGCATGGAAAGACTGATCTCAGGGGTTGGATCTGCCTGGAATTCCCCCATTTTTCATTGCTAGCACAGACTAAGGCATCAAGTATCTGTCAAAAGCTTAATGGCTAGGGTTCTTTATCAGAGTTCTAAATAGAATATCAGAAAAAAAAATCTTAGTGCCCTTGCCAAATCTAATACTCAAACCTCAAGTTCTTTACTGAGGGTAGAAAAAGAAGTGAGAAAGGTAATTAAATGGTAAAAGTCAGAAAACTTTCTATTTAGGAACACTTTGGGATGTTTCATCACACAATCTTAACACAACAGACTGAGGTAGGTGCTTCATGCAACCAGTAATACAGTGACAGTATAAGGATACAATCTGCTAAGTCAACAATTTACCTGACTATTGCACTTAGATGAGCCACATGATAAAGAGCAGATGGCCCAGACGAACCATGAGAGACGATGGACTCTGAAAAACAAACTGAGGGTTCTAGAGGGGAGGGGGGTGGGAGGATGGGTTAGCCTGGTGGTGGGTATTGAGGAGGGCACATTCTGCATGGAGCACGGGGTGTTATGCACAAACAATGAATCATGGAACACTACATCTAAAACTAATGATGTAATGTATGGGGATTAACATAAGAATAATAAAAAAAAAAAAGAGCAGATGGCCCAAGACAACCCATTCCCAATATTATGAAGACACAAGCATTAATGTAAAGATATGAAGGGATGGGGGGGTCACAGAAAAAAGAAGATAAGAAAAGGATAGATTCAGGGAAAGCAAGGAGGGCTGGGCTAGAAAGAAAAGGTTAACTTTTTTTACTTTGATAAGTCTTCAATTACTTTTTTAAAAGTTCTCAGTACGAGGGGCGCCTGGGTGGCTCAGTTGTTGGGCTCAGGTCATGATCCCAGGACCCTGGGATCGAGCCCCACATTGGGTTCCCTGCTCAGCCAGGAGCCTGCTTCTCCCTCTCCCACTCCCCCTGCTTGTGATCCCTCTCTTGCTGTGTCTCTCTCTGTCAAATAAATAAATAAAATCTTTAAAAAATAAAAATAAAAGTTCTGAGTACGATATAAAACATTATTTTATATAGGCTATTTTGAGATCATACTTACCAGCAGTTGTTTTCAGCAACTGATGTGGATGACTATACTTGAATGAAGGATAACCAAAGAAACACACATATTTTGGCTTCAAAACATGAACATTCATACATGTTTGAAAGTAGCGAACACAAATCTAAAGATGAGAAAACAAAAAAGTAAACGCTTTTGTGAATGTTCTTGATGGCTTATCTCTGTAAGTACATACTGAATTTCAAGTCTATTCTAAAAGTAAAACAGTCATTATCACAAAGAAACAATATGAAATTATCCAGGCCAAAATCTGAACTGGCCAAAATCTGGAATCAGTGAAAATCAAGTTTATTAAGATTGGTTATTTCTTTAGTATTTCTGTTCAAGAAATCAAAGGAACTTAAACCCTAGCACCCAGAGAACATTATTTTGTTCTTTTATTTAGTAAAACTACATCCTTGGAGTCAGATTTGTTTATATGTTTATGACCCTTGCCTAAAATTTCTTATGAAAGTGAAGAAATTTTAACAATGTATTTTATACAAACACATCGGTTTGTAGGTGCAGTCAAGTCACTAAAGACTTCCTAAAACTATTAAACAATTCAAAACTGACTGTTAGCATCTAAAGACACTGAAAAACATGTGTAGTGCTATAGGGAAAGGTTTTCTTACTATAATTTCTTACTGTAATTTACAGATGACTCTTTAGGTGTAACCATTTTGTATAACATCTTAGTTTAATGCAAGACAATATGTTATAGAAATAAGTAGACATGAATCTATTCAACTTGATATATTAGAACCTATGTGTCTGAAAAATAGACTATTTTATTTTGAAAGTTAATATTTCAACATTATTAATACCTGGTTAACTACATCACACTTTTAAACATAAAATTTCTTTTTTTTTTTTTTAAAGATTGTATTTATTTATTTGACAGAGAGAGACACAGCGAGAGGTAACACGAGCAGGGGGAGTGGGAGAGGGAGAAGCAGGCTTCCTGCTGAGCAGAGAGCCCGATGTGGGGCTTGATCCCAGGACCCTGGGATCATGACCTGAGCCGAAGGCAGATGCTTAACGACTGAGCCACCGAGGCGCCCCTAAACATAAAATTTCTAACCCCCTTACTGTATTTGAGAATAGTGGAATGTATCTGAAATTTTTTTATTAATGTAGGAGTTACTTTTAATTTAAAAAATTACTTTATTGTCATGTACTTTATCCTTTAGTGGTGATTAGCCTTTTATGTTATAATACGTATTATGTTATGTATTATAGCTATATTATAATGAATTTTGTTCTTTTTCTGAGAGCAAATAATATAAAAACAAATATTTGGTTTACCAATAGGAACAATACATATAAATTATTACATGATATTTCACCTTAATTTCCAAGCTGTTACTGATTTCTGAAGGCAAAGAAAAACTAAAGATCCCCTTCCTAAAACATAAATAATCTTAAATCATGCATCTTAGTTTTATCTTAAGAGATAATCATAAAGCAACTAATCTTTACAATACCTATTTTATTCTTATTAACATTCAGGAAACATAAAACTTAACTAAAATTGATAGCTTAAAACTTAGTGGATAGGGGGGCACCTGAGTGGCTCAGTTGTTAAGCAACTGCCTTCGGCTCAGGTCATGATCCCAGGGTCCTGGGATCGAGCCCTCCATCGGGCTGCAGCCCTGCATCGGGCTGCAGCCCCGCATTGGGCTTCAGCCGCTTATTGGGCTCCCTGCTCGGGGGAGGCCTGCTTCTCCCTCTCCCACTCCCCCTGCCTGTGTTCCCTCTCTCGCTGTGTCTCTGTCAAATAAATGGATAGAATCTTAAAAAAAAAAAAACAAACAACTTAGCAGATAGTGAAAGAATTCTCTTTCCCAAACCCCCATTTTCTGTGTCCTTTCTTTCTCCTTCAACTCCCTCAACCCTGGATCTTAGTCAACAACAGAATCAAAGGCGTAAATCAACTTACACCTCATCAGACATTCATAAATTTTAATTTAGGGCAGTAAATGGAAATTTTGAATTATATGGATTCACCTTGATTTAAAAAAAAAATCGTTTTTTAAAAAACCTTTGAAAGGGGGCGCCTGGGTGGCTCAGTCATTAGGTGTCTGACTTCAGCCCAGGGTCCTGGGATTGGGCCCCACATCCGGCTCCCTGCTCAGCGGGAAGCCTGCTTCTTTCTCTCCCTCTCCCCCTGCTTGTGTTCCCTCTCTCGGCCGTCTCTGTCAAGTAAATAAATAAATAAAATCTTAAAAAAAGGTAGGACCTTCAACAAAGGCAACTTTTATTGAAGAACTACTCACCAGGCAAGGGAGGCAGGGACTATCAAACTTTATTGAGTTCCTACCTAAGAGCTGGGGTACTTTAAAAGTCTCTTTTTTTATCTTCTTTTTATCTCACAATTACCTTCTAGAAAAGGCACGTTAGCCCTCTTTGAAAAACTAATGAGTGCTTTGCCCAAGGTCACAAAACAAACAAATGGCAAAATTCAGCTCTGAAACCAAGTAAATTTGACTCTAAAGCTGAAGCTCTTTCTCTCACACCACATTGTTATACGTAGGAGAAATAATCCCCACTTTGAATTTATAACCTAGCTGAAACACTATCCCCCCACCCACACACACACTCATGCATGGGCATGTATGCTCTAGTTTTTTGTAGTAAGTATAGGCAGTAGGTTTTAGATGAGTTTTAGTAGAGTTTTTTTGTGTTTTATTTTGTTTTTTCAGGTTGGCTTGATCTGGGAAGGCTTGCAGGAGGAAGAGTTGAGGTGGGCCTTGCATGGTAAGTATTAATAATTAAAGAGCAGAAATGCACTTTTAAGGCAGAAGGAACAGAATAAACAAAGGAACTGCTGCCGGAATTTGTCTCCTCAGGCAGTGAGTTGCTTGATTTGGCTTGATCAAATTTATAAAAGGGAGCATTGGAAGTGGCTCAAGGACCAAATTATTGATGACTGTAAATGTCAGGATAAGGAGTTTGAACTCCTACACTATAGATTATTGAAGAAAAAGGACTAAGAAATTAATACAGTTGCAGTTTATTGATTATTAACAGGAAAGCCAAGTAAGAGAGGAAAAAGTTAAGATACTATTATAGTATTTGAGGCATGAAATAACAGGCTCCTGAAGTGATTTACAGTGGAAAAGGAGAAAGCAACATAAGTACAACAGACAGTATGTGATAGTGATTAAATGGATTAGGAGAAGGCTAAAAAACATTAGTGAAGCTGCTGAATGGAAAGATAAAAAAGCAACAGCAGGGAGAAGGAGAAAAAATAATTTGTCAAGCTAAAAAAGACATTTTTTTCTAGAAACAGAATACAAAAAATAGGAGATGAAACACAGTTCTAGCAGATTCAAATAAGGAAATAAATAATAATTAAAACAGGCAGTTGTTGAGCACTCCTAAAGACAGGGATTGTGCTGGGCTTGGGAATTCAAAGCTAAATAAGCTACAGAATATAGTCCCTAAATTCAAGTTGCTTACACTTCATTACAGGAAGACAGACAAAATTGAAAAGTTCAATGTTAATTCAATATGATAAGTTAATCAAGAGTCAATGCTTGATGCAATGGGGGAGTATAAAACACAACATAGTAAGGCCTTGTTAATAATTTACTATAAGTATTAAGACCTCTTGATGGGACGCCTGGGTGGCTCAGATGGTTAAGCATCTGCCTTCGGCTCAGGTCATGATCCCAGGGTCCTGGGATCGAGCCCCACATTGGGCTCTGTGCTCAGCAGGGAGCCTGCTTCTCCCTCTCCCTCTGCCTGCCTGTCTGCCTACTTGTGATCGCTCTCTCTCTCTCTCTGTCAAATAAATAAATAAAATCTTTAAAAAAAAAAAGACCTCTTGTTGTTTATAACTTTTTAACAGATGGAAAAAATAGACTTTTTACTGAGTTGTTCAACAAATGTTTATTGAGTATCTACACTATGCCAGGCACTTGGAATTAGAGAACAAAATAGATGAATTCCTCTCTCATGGAATGTACAGTCCATACCTACAAAGGAAGACAATTAAAGAGGTGATGATGACCATAGTGTTATAATGGGAGAAACAGAGTATTAAAAACAAACACAAAGGAGGGAACCAACCTACTTCAAGAAAGTAAACTTGAAGTAAGATCTAAGGAATGAGTAGGAATAATCCAGGAGATGAGGTGTATTGCAGATGAGGCCATAGGGAAAGAAAGCAAGAGTCTTTAAAGCAGAGGAAATAGATGTGCAAAGGTCTGGAGTTGAGAGAGAGAGAGCAGTATGTTTAATTAATTGAAGCTCAATGTACTTCCAGTGTGGTTCAGTGTGGGGCAAGGGTGAGGGAAGTGTCAGAGTGGGGGCTGGGGTGAGTAGGTTTCAGCAAGAAATGAAGCCTGAGAGATTTGGAAAGGTCCAGATCATAAATTACCTCACAGTCTTTTAGATTTTGGACATTTTGCTTGCAGCAGTTTTAAGCAAGGAAATGGCATTCTCAAATGCATGTCTTACTTTATAGGATCACCCTGGTTACACTATGGAGAATGGGTTGGAGAGGCACCGATTGGAGGCAGAAAGTCCAATTAGGAAGGACCAGGATAGCTGCAGTTGGGGGCAAGGTGGAGAATAATGACTAAATTTTGGAGATTTATAGGCTAGAATCAAAAGTGAAACAGGTCTGGGGTGCCTGGGTGGTTCAGTCGGTTAAGCATCTGCCTTCGGCTCAGGTCATGATCCCAGAGTCCTGGGATCAGATCCTGATTGGGCTCCCTGCTCAGTGGGGAGACAGCTTCTCCCTCTCCATCTGCCTGCCACTCCCCCTGCTTGTGCTCTCTCTCTATCTCTCTCTCTGTCAAATAAATAAATAAAATCCTTGTTTATGTCTCTTTCTCCCCTGCCTTCCACCACAATGTTGTAATTAATCTGAGACGGCAGGGGTCTCTCTTACTCACATTTGTTTCCCGACCGCCTGGCACAGTACCTGGTACACAGGAGGCTCTTGACAGATTTGTAAGATCAGGGGTCGACCACTGTAAGACGTTAGGGAAGAGGGATCCCAGAAGGAAAAACGCTATGCAAATAGGACGAAACACTATGATTACTGGGATGTTAGGTGTCTGGTGCTAAATGGTTGTTCAAAGGGAGAAACTTCAAGGGAGATGGTGGTAGGTCGTAGCTCTGGTGATAAAAAGGTTGTAAAGATACGTGGCGCAGGTCCACAGAATGAAATCTGAATCTCTCTGCTCCTCGGAGGCAAGGACCCGTGGTGTTATGCTTTGCTTTACCGGTCTCTTCCTCTAGACTGTAAGTTCTCCGAGGCAAGGGTCGTGTTGTCGGTGTTTGGCACACAGTGGGTGCTCAATAAATGCTGAATGAATATATATTTCCATATCCCCAGTGCCTATCACAATGCCCAGCACCTAGATGGTGCCCAATAAAAGGCTAACGGGTGAAAGGCTAAATGGGCTGGGTGTAGATAAAGCTGGAAAGAGACGGAGTCGCGACAGAAATGAGGCCAGGTAAGGAGGGAGTGGGTCTCCGGACCGGTCCGCTCGCCACCTTCTCTGCCCTTCGTTTAGCATACATCCTTCCACTTCTCCGTCTCGCGTGCCCTGTCCGCCTGGCACTCGGACGACAAAGTAACACCCTACCCGGGAATACTAGCGACAAATCACTCCTTCCCGACGTCAAATGAGCCCCAAACCGCTTACCAGCCGCCCAGCATTCTGGCTCCAGGACCTCAGCACACGCACTGCAGCCATCTTACCCGGAAATGACACATGCTTGGTGGTTGTTAGAGTTGTCTCGTGGGGGCGACCTATTGGGAGCCGGGAAACGCACCTCCCCCTGAGCGGCCAATGGCGAGGGAAGGAACGAGCCTCCCACCCCATAGCCAAACAGCGGGCGGGGCGGGGCCTGAGATAACTGCGCGTGGGGGGAGAGTCCCCGGAGGAGGTAAAAGAGCACGCTGGAGGCGGGGGAATTGGTGAGGCAGCTCAAAGTTAGTTTCAGGGACCAAGTTGGGCAAGCCATTGCTGTGTCCACCAACGACCAACTTTTTCATCCATGAAGTGGAAATAGAGACTGTTAAGGGAACACAAAGGGAAGGCACTTGGAGAGGTGAAGACCTGATGAGTAGGAAAATACCCCTTTCAGCTTGTATTGTACCCGCCTTGATTACAGAAAATGGGACATTTCTATACTTTGTAGCAAAGGCTCTGTACCACTAATTGAGTCACAAGTCTATGCTGGAATCCTACCCAGTGACTGGTATTCCTTATTCCCATGGAGGGTTCTTGGTGACCTAAATCGCCTTTTCAGTTTTTTCTTTCACAGAAGATAAAGGTTACCTAATGTCTAAAATAAAGACATTATCTTTTCTTCTTAGAGAATGTTGTCAGATGCAGCTGCCCAGCATATATAGTATATATCACAGACATATAACCTTGATTTACTTGGCTCTTGGAGAATGTCAAATTCAGGTCAAGTTGATTCGGGGAATATAAAAGTTCGAGCTTTAATAGTCTTTCTCAGAGTAACTAGGATACTAATTTCTAGAAACTTCCAGGATGACATTTGCCTGGTTTTTGCCCTCTAGATGGGAATTAAAATTAAAGAATTAAAGACAAAAAAAATGGGAGGGGCGTCTGGGTGGCTCAGCCATTAAGCATCTGCCTGCCTTCAGCTCAGGTCATGATCCTAGGCTCTTGGGCTTGAGCCCCACATTGGGCTCCCTGCTCAGCCAGGAGCCTACTTCTCCCTCTTCCCCTCCCCCTGCTTGTGTTCCTGCTCTCATTATCTCTCTCACTCTCTCTGTGAAAATAAATAAAATCTTTTAAAAAAATGGGAAAAAAACATTATAAATCCTCAACATTGAAGGTTAGTGGCTGTGAAACAAATTCTCAGTTATTTCACAGATTTACTGTCTAATATTACCCAAACTCACACTTTTTTTTTGCTTTATTTGCTTTTCAGTATATTTCACATACAAACTATTATAAGCAATAAATCCAAATCATCACTTTTATAACAAAATCTGGAAAGTCAAAAGAACTTTAATTTTTTTTAACTTTCCTATTAACAAAACATTTTATAGGCACTACTTATTCGATAACCCCATATGTGCGTGTGTTTTTAAAAACAAGATGTAGTAGCCGTGACTTTGAAGTGAATTATTTTCTTCCCAGGGCCCCTATACCACCTTCTTCCTCTTAACTTTCCCTTTAATTCTACCTTCTCCCAAGAAAATATTTGGTTATTCTTTTCTTTTACCCTCTTTTGACCTCAATGGATTACTACTTCCACATTCAGTGTGGTGTGTGTCCTTATCTTTCAGCATCAACAGTTATGCCACCTACTTACTAGTTACTCCTTTTGCTTGAGTTCAAAAGAACCAAAGAACCATTTTTTCCTTTTCCTAATTAATAAAGTGACTGATTATGACCCATCAGTTCCACTGCTAAGTATCTACCCAAGAGAAAGGAAAACATATGTCCATACAAAGACTAGTACAAGAATAATGGCAATAGCATTGTTTTTAATAGCCAAAAACTAGAAACAGTCCAAATACTCTTCAACAGATGAACAAATGAACAAAATGTGGTATATTCACATAATAAAAGATTATTTATCCTTAAAAATGACTGAAACACTGGTACATGCTGTGACATGGACGAACCTCAAAAATATTATGGGAAGTAAAAGAAGCCAGATCTGAAAGGTTATATATTGCATGATTCTATTTATGATTCTATTTATCTGTAGATAAAACAATCTAGAGAGACAGAAAGCAGATTAGTGGTTGCCTGGGGCTGGGAATGGGGATGGGAAATGGCAAATGACTGGGAATGGGAATGGGAAAAAGCTTTTTGTGGTGATGGAAATTTCCTATTACCAGACTGTGGTGATGATTGCATAACTGTAAAATGTACTAAAAATCACTGAATTGTACACTTAAAACAAGTGAATTTCATGGTATATAGCTCAATGATGCTGTTAAAATTTGTGTTACATTGTACACTTACAAAAGAATAATTTAACATATAGGTAAGTTGCACATAATAACAAAAACCTTGAACTCATTACCCAATTTAACAAATAGAACCTTTCCTATTCTCGGGAAGGTCACACTGTCTGCTCCTCTTTTTTTTTTTAAAGATTTTATTTATTTATTTGAGACAGAGAGAATGAGATAGAGAGAGCATGAGAGGGGGGAGGGTCAGAGGGAGAAGCAGACTCCCTGCCGAGCAGGGAGCCCTACGCGGGACTCGATCCAGGGACTCCAGGATCATGACCTGAGCCGAAGGCAGTCGCTTAACCAACTGAGCCACCCAGGCGCCCCTGTCTGTTCCTCTTAACCCTTCCTCTCACCTGAGGTAAACATCATCCTGCGTTGTGTGTTCAGCATACCTTTGTTTCCATATGTTATATATGAATCTCTAACAATATCTTGTTTACCTTTGCTTATTTTTGAGTTTTATAAAAATGGTATCAAATTCTATCTTCCTGCAACTAGCTTTTATGACCATGCCACTATTTATCTATCCATTCTCTATGCAGTGAACATTTGTGCTGTTTCCAGTTCTTTGCTATTGCTATTACCACCAGTGCTGCTATATACATTCTTTTCTCCTGGTACATGTGCTAGAGTTTCTTTAGGGCAGTGCTTCTCAGATCGTAATGAACATTCGTATCATCTGGGGATCTTGTCCTAAGGCAGATTCCAATGCAATAGATCTGGGTGAGGCCTGAAATTCTGCATTTCTAACAAGTCTAGGTGATACAGTTGCTACTGGTTAGCCAATTACACTTTGATTAGTAAGACAAGGATATATACTTAAAAATAGAATTGTGGAGGGGCACATGGTTGGCTCAGGTGGTGGAGCTCTTGATCTCGGGGTTGTGAGTTCAAGCCCCACACTGGGTGCAGAAATTACTAAAATAAATAAACAAACAAACTTAAAAAAAAATAGAATTGTGGAGACTTGGATTATACTTATCTTTTTTTTCTTTTTGAGAGAGAGAGAGCATGAGCGGGGAGGGGAAGAAGGAGAAGGAGAGAGGGGATCTTAAGCAGGCTCCACGTTCAGCACATACCCCAACACAGGGCTGGATCTCACGACCCTGAGATCATGACTGGAGCCAAAACGAAGAGTGGGTTGCATAACTGACTGAACCACCGAGGCACCCCAAGATGATACTTATTTTTAACTTTACCCAAGATAATGCTATATTGTTTTCCAACATGATGATGCAAAATACACAGCAGCTGTTAAGAGATTACCCATTGTTTCTGATTTGATATTGTTGCACTTAAACAGAGTTAGTATTTTCCCAATATAATAGTTATAAAATGGTATCATGTTCTTAATTTGAATTTCCTGAATGTTAATAAGGTCGAACACATTTTCGTATGTTTATCAATCATTCTTGAAGTGCCTGCTCATGTTTTTAGCTTATTTTTTCACTACTGTGTGTATGTATTTCTCTTGATGATTTGTGTGGGAGTTCTTTATGTATTTTAGATTGTAATGTTTTTTCATTTATGTGTTTTTGGTATCTTTTTCCTTGTCTTTGCTCTTTTATAAGTGTCTTTGGTGTACAGAGTTCTTCCTTTTAACAGGGTTGAATGTATCCGGGTTTTGTTTTTCCTTTTTTTTCTGTATGGTTAGTGCTTTTTCTGTCTTAAGAAATACTTCCCAATTGGGTGGCTCAGTCGGTTAAGCATCCGACTCTTGATTTCAGCTCAGGTCATAGTCTCAGGGTCCTGGGATCAAGCTCCACATCAGGCTCTGCACTCAGCATGAAGTCTGCTTGTCCTTCTTCCTCTGTTCCTCTCCCACTCCCTCTGTCTCTCTCTCAAATAAATAAATAAATAAATAAAATCTTTAAAAGAAAAAAAAATAAATACTACCCAATCCAAAGTTCTGAAGGTAGTCTGCTATATTTCTTTCACATTTAAGTCTTACTTTGTTTTGTTTTGTAATTTTAAAATTGAAATATCATTCACATACCATGAAACTCACCCTTTTAAAGTATATAATTCAATGATTTTTAGTATATTCATAAAGTTGTGCAACCATTACCACTATCTAATTTCAGAATATTTTCGTCACCACCAAAAGAAACCTCATACCCATTAAGAACTTCCCATTCTGGAATTCCCCCCAACCCCACCCCAAGCCCCTGACAACTACTAACCTATTTTCTGTCTCCATACATTTGTCTATTCAGTCGTTTCATTTCATATAAGTGGAATCATACATTATGTGTTCTTTTATGACTGGCTTCTTTCACTTAGCATGATGTTCTCAAGGTTCATCTATATTACACATATATCAGTATTTTATTCCTTTTAATAGCTCAGTAATATTTCATTGTATGGATATAGCATATTTTTCTTTATCCATTCGTCAGGTGATAGACATTTGGGTGGTTTCCATTTTGGAACTATCATGAATAATGCAGCTATGAACATTCTTGTACAAGTTTTTTTTCTATCTTTTTTTTCTTGTACAATTTTAGTGTGGACATAGGTTTTCATTTTTCTTGGGTATATATCTAAGAGTGGAATTGCTGGGTAGCATATAACCCTATGCTTAACTTTATGAGGAACTGTCAGACTGTTTTCCAAAGTGGCTGCACCAATTTACATCCCCACTAGCAGTGTAGGCAGGTTCTGGTTTCATGCCCTCACCAACACTTGTTATTACTGGTCTTTTATTTTAATAGCCATACTAGTGGGGTGTGAACTGATATTTCACT